TCGTTTCACATCTGCCGCAGCTACTAGTCCTTGATACATGCTTGACATAATCTTCCAATCAGCTCATGTGAAAGAAATGCTCCCGTAACCTTGTTTCCAGAACCGTTTGCAGATTTAGAATGTGGATTCGAGATCAGCATTATAAAACGCATTTGTGGATATACATCTTATCCTGCACGGCCACTACGATCCATTATCCTTTTCTAGATTCACTGTCGCGACATGACAACATCGTGCAGATGATTTCCTGACAGCGATAAACTCCGAATTCGATTGTAACTGCTGGACGTGGTTCACACGCAATCTTTCCAGCTCGCTTTTCCCATCAAGTCCCTATTAGGGCTCCTACCGGGGTTAGCTATTATTCTGCAGGGAATAATTAGGAGATTAGCTGAGATGCGGTTTAGTCGTTGAACAAGGCTGTTCCCACGGTTTATCGATCATTTTTAGAGCTCTCCCCAACCATATGTGGAAATATCACCAACGTCCCAACTTTGATGTAGCAAGGAGTTGTGCCTGGCAAAAACCATGACTTCACAAAGGGTATTTCTGCAAGTGTTAGAAAGATATGAAAGATAAAGGCTTGCTCTCAGCCCTAAGGAGGTCTTGCTACAAACCTATTACATAGGGATTCTGGATCGGAAGAGATAATCACGTTATGGCAGCGGTAGTTGACGTTTTCTTGTCGTAGAGCTTGTAACTTACTAGAAATTCTTACATTCTACGTAAAAAAATCGCAAAGTGAGTCAATGCAAGAGAGTGAGAAAGCTTTCTCGAAGAATTTGTCGGAGAACCGGGTGAAGAACATCGGTTAGAACCTGTCTACATGGGGTGCGTTGAGTGATGCCTCGAAGCCTCACCTTTTTCTCCCACGCTGCTGCTCGTACACGGTTTTCGTCGTTTCGTGGTCCCCAAAGGTAGAAATCTGGTTTGTATAGAGCTCGAAGAGGTATTTTTCTTCGAATCATGTATGCGGTCTGTAACAGCATAGTATCCTATTAGGTTAGGTAATCACATCAGCTCAAAAGTGTAGTAGATGATATTTTGCAAGGAAAACACTCTACAAAACGTCTTCATATAGTTATCCATTTCCAGCTTGAGTGGGTTGCATTTCGAACCGGTTTCAGCTACCATACATAGTAGCAATGGACAAAGGCCAGTCATACAGATCTTCCTGTTCAATCATGGCACCTAAGATTCCTGTTTTGGTAGCCATTTGCATTACAGCGTTGTCCTCTCTAGTGATCACTAGCATGGCAAGGGCTATAACTCATAAAGGGTGCCGCTAATTAAACTGCAGCCACTTTAGGTGGCTTGACAACTTGGAATTCCCAACGAAAGCGTACCTTAGAAATGGCAAATAGTGGTATCGGGCCAAAAATGATGACCATGAGCACTATGACCGACGTTTTTGCAGCTTCATGAGGTGTAGGGTAAGCGACAACCAAAGCAGTCTGGAAGACCATCGAGAATGCTTCTATAAAAAGGCTGAGAAACGAGATTTTGTGGCGAACATTGAGCATACTGGTCCCTGCAGATCTCAGAAATCAAGCCTCCGTTCCAGGACAAACATATTTCGCCGTACGCGACTTTTGTGATGTTTTTTTCTCCACTAACAACTCTTGTTTTTGGCATTCTCAGAATCAATTGAGTCTGTCAACTCATTGTGACGAAGGCAAAGGAATGCTTGCAACGACTTACAATTATGAGTAGTGGAGTGACCGTCCAAATGAGCATAAAAACAACCCCAGAAATGCGACGTGCGATATTATCGCCCTCATCCTTGAAAACAAAAACTTCATTGATTCTCAGAAAGCGTTGATTTTACATTTGCACCGTATATCAGAATTGCACAAAACTCTGAAGCTACTGTCACGTTTCAAGGATTATAAGAATGTTGGAAATGAACTACATTCGAGCTCCCACTCAGAGCTATTCCTTATCACGAATGAATCAACTGAATTTTTCAAACTACAGAGCAATAAATTGTCTAACAATGATTTTCCAAGCATCGGCAGTTGGTATGACCTCACGAGCACGTGTCTAGATAATCTGGCGAGGTTCAAGCAACACCTCAATTCTTCGGATTTGGTTTTTTTTCTAATTTGGGGGTAAAGTTTTCTCACGTGTTTAAGGACACGGTACACGATAAAAATGGTTGCTGAGTTCTTGCCATAGGAAAACTC